CAACACGTCAAATCCCCAAACTCGCTTTATCAGACGGTGAGATATGGACTGTATGTACATATTCTTCTTATCAAGGAGACGTATACTCCATATCTCGAAGTCAGATTAGGCGTGTCTATGGGTTTGACGTGGCGGCCGCCGCACTTGATGGAAGTTGCGCGGATAAGCTGCTTCCAGCATGCTTTGCTGATATCCAACAGTATGTTAGAAACAGCCTATCCACACGGCTTCTATCAAGTGCGGCAACGGCCACGTCAAATCCATAGCCACGCCTAATCTGACTTCGAGATATCGACGTTAGAACCTACAGCATGATGATACTAATAAAAATAGTGTCGAACCCCGTTTGGCTTCGGCCTGCATTTGATGCGACGAGTTTCTTGCTTCTGCCTTTGCTGACATCGAATTCGGACGCAGCAAATTGGCCTGCATGTTACTTTGTCCAACAGGAGGCTCTTCAATTTGCTGCCCTTCTGGTAACCTTAACAGAACTTTTCATAAATAGTGTATGTAAAAATAAGTTCTGAACTAACTCTTCCACTGGATAGACATGTCCATTGAAAGTGGTGGCTAGAGACGATGGTCGATCATCCTGATAGATTTCAATGAACCCAGGCTCCTAAGAAATGTACTTAAATGTAATCTGCAATTTTGAAAGCAACGTTCAAAATTTTGGAACAGCCACCTACATCGTTTTTATGTTTCGTAGCGTATGGAAGTATGAATCCAGATGCGTACGGAGAATAGCGAGTTCGCTTTATATAGGGCTGACGACGAAAGTTCGTCGGTATCGTACCCTGAAATTTGATTGATATGACCTTCGAAGAATCAGCGTAACGTTTGAAAGCCGATTGACAATGAAACCAAGTAGACAAATTGCTCTATGCGTAGGACACAGTTAATCACAAGAATGTTAGCTATGAGACTCCCTTGACTTAAGGGTGCGCACTAAGGGTGCTCATGATGGCCTGTGACCGGCTTCCTGTTGCTCAGGGTAAAGCGACCTGAGCGACCAGACGCCTACCGCCTCACAGGTCTGTTATACTCTCTAATCTCACTCATTCGTGTTCTCGCCTCGACCTTGCCTCATGAGCACGGCAGCTATCGAAGATAAGTGTGAGGTTGACGACGGTTTAGGAGTAGGAAAGAATGGAAGGAGGGACCAAAATAAGAAGATGGCCCCCCTATAAAGCATTTCCTGGTGCGGTGATCAACACTCCTATCCCTGTGATTTTCTCACACGCCATAACTAACGATAAGAGTTTCCCTATTCCAAAAGTTTTTCTTTTCTTTTTCCTTCTCAATGGTGGTCAATTTCACCCCTCCACGTTCATTTCAGAGGAGAACAAACACACCACAATGGTTTGATAGTAGGAAGGGCATCAAAACATTCAAATGAGACAGGCTACAACCGCCAGTATTGAAATGAATGAAAAAGAAGGGATCAATGTTGATAACTTCTTACTAAAAAGCTTCAATGTAAAAGGCAGCGGCACTACGTCCAATCCGTCGGTGACTGGTGCAATAGGGTTGGGTTACAAGGCTTCTGTCAACCAAAGGGTGAGAGCGTAGCTGAAAAAGCACGCCTTTGTGTCTTATTGGGACTAAG